AAGAAATTGAAAACTTATTTGAAAAAAAATGGAGAACTTCACTAATCTGTCAAAGGAAATAGACTTCCAGGAAGTCCAGGAACCACAGAAAGTCCCAAAAGAGTTGGACCCAAGGAACCACACACCAAGGCACATCATAATTACATTACCCAAAATTAAAGATAAGGAGAGAATCTTAAAAGCAGTAAGAGAAAATGAGACAGTAACCTACAAAGGGGTTCTCATAAGACTGATTTCTCAATCAGTCTGATATCCCATTAGCTGATTTCTCAACAGAAACCTTGCAGGCAAGAAGGGGCTGGGAAGAAGTATTCAAAGTCATGAAAGGCAAGGACCTACATCCAAGGCTACTCTATCCAGCAAAGCTATCATTTAAAATGGAAGGACAGACAATGCTTCCCAGATAAGGTCAAGTTAAAAGAGCTCATCATCACCAAGCCCTTATTATATGAAATGTTAAGGGGACTAATCTAAGAAAAAGAAAATGATCAAAATTATGAACAGTAAAATGACAACAAACTCACAACTATCAGCAACAAAACCTAAAAAAAAATACCAAAACCAAAACACGAACTAAGCAAACAACTAGAACAGGAACAGAATCATAGAAATGGAGATTCCCATGGAGAGTTATCAGTGGGAGGTGGAGGGAAGAGAATGGGGGAAAGGTACAGGGAATAAGTAGCATAAATGGTAGGTACAAAATAGATAGGGGGAGGCTAAGAATAGTATGAGAAATGGAGAAGCCTAAGAACTTACATGTATGATCCATGAATAGGAGCTAAGGAGGGGGTGGGATGTGGGTGGAATGGGGGGGTGCAGGGCAGGGAAGAATACTGGGGGGGAGGGGAATGGGACAACTGTAATAGCACAATCAATAAAAGTATTTTTATAAAAAGAACATTAAAGTCAGTCAAAGAGTCTGAATAACTTACAGCATGCTGGTGAATCGAAAGACCTTATCTCTCCTAACCAATGACATGTGACAACAAATGGTTTTACCCATCTTCCTCCCTAAACAAAGAATAAATAGATTAAATCACCCTGGTTGGGGGAAACTAAACAACAGAGACCAAATTAATGCTATTTATGCTAGATGAACCCAAGGACAGATGAAGTCAGGGAGGGGAACAAATAAAACAAAGAAGAAAAAAAAACAAAAAAAACAAAAAGCGTTGCAGCTGGACAGACCAAAGATAAAAGTAACACAGTGAACTGACTAGAGAATAATCCCAATCCCCTCTATGTACTGATTTTGATGCAGCAACATATTAAAAACACTCCTAAAAGCTGATGAATATTCTGCTGACACCCTCCCCTATATTTCTTGCCCATGGAAGAGAGATAAAAACCCTCCAGGCAGAGACCTGGGGCAGCTCCCTCTAGAGCTCACCCACACCCCCATGTCAGACATGAACTTCTTTCTGTCCTTCTGAGCTCTAAGGTGCCCTTGGTATTATCAGCCAGGGGAGCAGAGGGCAGTGGCAGCTTGTCTCAGGCTTATCCCCCATCCTGACTTTAAGGTCCCCTTTTCCCCTGACCCTCCAGGGAGCTGTCTGTAGCCCCACCTTGGCTCTTTCCTTTTGTAACATTCCCAGGAACCAGAGCAGCCCCACCTAGGCTCTCTCCAGTTACTTCTTCTACCCTAAGTCCTGCCTTAGCATCACTGTCCCCCGCTTTAATAAATATACTTTCAAAATCCCCTGGACTCAGGTTCTGGAATATTTTCCAGAGGAAGTCAAGCACCCACACACTACACACCACAAACCACAGGCTGGCCTGAGGCAGAACCGCTCAGGCCCAGGTCTGTCTGGTGACAACAGCTGGGAAGGAACGCAGGAAAGTGGGTCATCGGGGCTGTGAGAGAAAATACCCTACTCTTACTGAAGCTCCTCCACCCCGAAACTCTCTGAATCTCATTTCTTCTGCTCCCACAAAGATCCTACACCAAGTGTCTCATGAGTTTGCTCTGAAGATTACACTTGACCCTCTGGTAGATCAATGATGTCACTGCCTAAAACAGGTTAAGCCATCCTCTGTCCATAGTCACCACCATTCTGTTGACTGGAGCATTTAGAGACATTTCATCCTTTCACTTTTACGAAACCACAATACAAGAAACCTCCTTGAATAAACTTTTTGAGGACATGTGTGATTATCTTCTTAGGATAAACTCTTAAAAGAACATTTTCTGTGTCCAAATGTAATCACATTGAAATCGCTGAGACCTTTTACAAAAGCATCCTTCAGGAATTTGTCCCATTTTTCAGTCCCTTCAACCTTCACAACAGAATGTGTTCCCCACCCTTGGGCTGAAAGGCTCACCATTTTCTTTCATCTTTGCCAAACAGACAGATGGTTGGACATTCGTGCTCTCACAGAACATCAGCATCAGACAGGAGCATCCCCAGACCACGGAGAAGTGAGACAAAACATCACCACACTACGTGTTGTCTCAGCACAGACAGAAATGAGACATGGTGCGGCTCACACACTACCAAGCAGCTCCCAGGCCAGCCAACAGAAGGGGAGGCAGGTCTTTCTTATCCCCTCTCACCCTCGCTCCTGTCTGCCACATCCCTAGGTATTTCCTGAGATGCCCAGTCACAGACTTGCCCCCACCTGGCGACACCAATCTAGAGGGGCCCCTGAGCCCATAGATCCTCCCGAGATCTCCGTCCAGAGCCCATGTCTGGGGTACATCCTGTCTCACCCCGTCCTGAAGCCGCCCTGGTCGCACTCCCCCTCACAGCAGGGAGGCACACAGCCCACTGTCTGCCCCAGAGGCTCCTGGAGTCTTTGGCGGAAGAACACTGACACACGTTACCTTCCTCTGCCAACATTTTTAGGCGTCTTTGAGTTTGGTTGTGGGCATCAGTTTGTATCTCCTGAGTGTGTGGTTCACATAGGAGAGTTCTGTGTTTTCCTTTATGGCTTTTCATCTTTTGTTCTTGCTTAGAGAATTTTTCATTCCACAATTGTAAAAACTTCATATATATTTTCATCTAGGGAAGAGGCATCCAAGGGTGAAGGGAAATAGAATTGCAGAATTCTGGGGGAAATTGGGTGAAGACTTATTGGTAAAGAATTCTACCTTGGAATTCTAATGTTTACATCTTCCTCTTTACAAGTCTTTAATTACGTCTGGGGCCTACAGGAATGTGGTACATGTTGTGCTCACATATATTTATTTTTTGAGTTGATACAGACATGTGTGCCTGCTGATGTCTCCAGGTTCACAAAAATGACACCAAGGGTCCCAAAGTGATGTGCACAAGGACCAGCTCCAGTGAGGAGCATTTTTGATCATTTACAACCTTAAGGTGTTACATCACATTTTGGTTAATATCTGCACACCATACTTGTAAGTGGATATTAAATAATGTTTCTTGGGTATGCTGTATTTTGAGGATATATCAAAGACCCTCACAGACTAATGAAGTCAGCAGACTTGTATTGAAATTAATATAATATTGTTCATTAACTGTAACTGAAAAATAAAAAAAATTAAAAAGGAGATAAGTATGTCCTGAATTCATAATACAAATTGATTAATTTCTTAACTGTTCTTAATAAAAATAGAGAATAAAAACATAAAATATCTCCTATGACAACTTGGAAACCACACAAACACCCTTCTGTTACATTCCCAAGTACTGTGAGTCCAGGAAAGTGACCTGTAAGGGCTGAGCCAGCCTCTTCTTCACAGAACAGCAAGTTCACTTAAGAGAATGAGAGACACAGAACCTGTGATGACTGAGGTGTGGTGAACTGGCGAACACTCTCTCAAAATGAACATGAGCTTCTCCCTCAAGGAGAGTCACTGGGGCAGTTGACACCTGACAGCACTTGTTGTCTGGATGGAATGGAAGCTCTCAGGGGAAAACCAGGGTTCTGGCAAACGTGTGTCTCCCCACAGCAGCCAGACAGCTTCCCAGAACTGACAACCGTTTCCAGTGGGATCTGTGGTAATGTTAACAATTGTGATTTTTGATGATGTGTCATTAAATGCATCAGCACTGGGAGATCTCTATCACTTAGTGAAACAAGGCATTACTTTCAAATAATCCTGCGTCAGTACAAGAGCTACTCAAGCAACATAACAGAATAGGAAATACTCAATGGATTTGTTTCAGGTTCCACTTTGAAAAGAGATTTTGAGGAACTACCACTTGTGTGGCTTTTGTGTACTATCCAAGATGAATATCCACACTTATCTGAAAAGGTTAGTAAAAATGCTCCTCCTAAATATTTGTGTGAGGCTGTATACATTTTTCATATACTGCAACCAAAATAACAGATTAAATGCAGAAGCAAATATGAAAATCCAGTGGGCTTCTAATCGTACAGACAAGCCCTGAGACTTTCAAAAAGTAAAACTTAAGCAGATCCACTCTTCTCACTGCCTCGTTTATTTCAGGAATAGTTATTTTTCATGAGAATATTATTTCTCTTAACATATCATTGGCTATTAATATTATTCCAAGTGAATTATTTTTCTCAAAATGTTTTATTCCTTATATTGATAAGCTATTGATAGCTATAACCCACATAAACAAAATTATTTTTGTGAGTCATTTCTATTTTCTAAGACTACATAGATGTTCTGACACCAAAATGTCTGAGAGTCACTGAATAAAACAGCACCTGGGCCGGGACTCAGAGAGGCAGCTGGACAGAGGTCTCCATGCAGGAGGAGGGTTGGGGCAGATTCCCGGGTCCCCAAGCCAGGCTCTCAGGGTCTCAGACCGAGGACCACATCTAGGGCGGGGACTGTCAGTGTTGGGGTGTGCCCTTCTTCCCCAGGTTTCCTTTCTCCTTCTCACGGGTCCTTCTGCCTGGATACTCCTGACGTTCTGCTGCAATTCTGGTTTGTATGTCCCAACTCTGCCCGAGCCAATCAGTGTCACCGTGGTTTCCAGTATAAAGTCCTCACATAGCATCCAGTTCCTTCTCATGCATCAGTACAGACGCTCTCCCAGACGCTCAGGGTCTGGGTCATGGGGCCCAGAGCTCTGCTCCTGCTGCTCTTCCAGGCCGTGGCCCTGACGGAGACCTGGGCGGGTGAGTGCGGGGTGGGGAGGGAACAGCCTCTGCAGGGCAGGAGGGAGGAGACCCGGCGGGGAAACAGGACACCGGGACTCAGAGGATGGGTCCCCAGACACCAGACCCTGGACCCCGGACCCTCTCTTCTGTCCTCCCGTCCTCCCCCCACCCCCCTTCTCAACCACCGAATCCTTTTCTGTGTCCCGGGCCCCCTTCTGCTGTCGCCCCACCATATACTCAAGACGCCCGTCCTCTACTTCCCCAGGCCCACACACCCTGAGACACGTCCTCACCTTCGTGTCTGGACTCGGGAAGTCCCGGTACTTCGTGGCCGGCTACGTGGACGACACGGAGGTCATGCGGTGCGACAGCAACGTTTCTAACTCGAGGGCGCAGCCGCGGATGCCTTGGATGGAGCACCCGTGGGTGGAGCAGGAGGATCCAGATTTCTGGGAGGAGCAGACGCGGCTCTGCAAGTACCATGAACAGGCTTCTCAAGGAAAGGTGAAAAACCTGCGCTCCTACTACAACCAGAGCGAGTATGGTGAGCTACGAACGCGTGCCCACATTCGGGCACAACCTCCCTTCACGCAGACGGGCACCAGTCTCCCCGAATCCGCTGCTGCCGAACGTCCCCTCAGGGCTGTGGGATCTGCCCTACGGCCATCCCGGGAGGAGCCCTCGGGGATCCTAACCCAGTCTTATTTTCACCCACTTTAGTCCCCGCGGAACGGGTCTTTACTGGTCGGTTGTCATCGGGCACATTTGTCCTCCAACAGGACTAAGTCCGCGGGGCTGACTTTAGGGCGGGGTCAGGGTCTCACACCTTTCAGCACAAGAGGGCCTGCGTTGTGGGGCCGGACGGGCGCTTCCTCCGCGGGTACAGTCGCACTGCCTATGATGGCACCGAAACCTTCGCCCTGAACTTGGACCCGAGTTCCACCACCGAAGCCAACAAGACCGCCCAGATCACCATATGGCGGGATTTGTTGCATCAACATGATGTGGAGTGTACGAGGGTCTTCCTGGAGCACACGTGCGTGCACTGGCTTCACCTGTTCTTGGAGAAGGGGAAGGAGACCCTGCTCAGAGCAGGTATCAAGTCGCAGGCCTCCTGGAGGAGGGAACCTGTGGGCTGGGGCAGCTTCCTACAAGGAGAGGAGGGAAATGGGGCAGTGTCAGAATCCCCCTCTTGCTCGGTCGAGGGAAGAGTCCCCCAGGTTTCCATATTTGTGACTCACGGGAGTGCCCAGCTTTCTCTAAAGGACAGTAAGGGACCCAGCATCTCCCTGAAACACCCGACAGCGGTTCCCTCACACCCTGCAGCACCTGCTGCACCAGGACGCTCTCCCTGGTTCTCAGGCTGAGACCTTCTCTGGAGACCTGACTCTGGCTTTGCTGTCATCAGCCTCCACCTGAGTCTGTGTCTCCACACAGAGACCTGGACACTCCTACCCCAGGTTCTCACCCTGATTCTGGAACTTTCCAGGAAATAGGAGATTATACCAGATGCCTCTGTCCAGAATGGTAACTGGGTGGTGTTTACCCTTTCCCCACTCCCACTGTCCTGTCCACTCTCAGGGTGGTCACATGAGAACTGCTGGAGTGTCCCATGACCATGCAAAGTTCCTGAATTTTCTCACCCTCCCCTCAGACCCTCCAAAGACACACATGACCCACCACCCCATCTCTGACCATGAGGTCACCCTGAAGTGCTGGGCCCTGGGCTTCTCCCCTGCGGACATCACCCTGACCTGGCAGCGTGATGGGGAGGACCTGACCCAGGACATGGAGCTGGTGGACACCAGGCCTGCTGGGGACGGGACCTTCCAGAAGTGGGCAGCTGTGGCCGTGCCCCCTGGAGAGGAGCAGAGATACACATGCCATGTGCAGCACCAGGGGCTGCCTGAGCCCCTCACCCTGAGATGGGGTGAGGAGGGGATTTGGGCACAGAGCCCCTCCTCAGGGTGTCCCTGAGCAGGGTCAGGAGTCAAGCCTGAGGTTGGCCTCTCACCTTCCTTTTGCAGACGCCCCTCCTCAGACCACCATCACCATTGTGGGCATTGCTGCTGCCCTTGGTCTCCTTGGAGCTATGGCCTCTGGAGCTGTGCTGTGGAGGAGGAAGAGCCCAGGTGGGTAAGGGGTGGGGCTGAGTTTCCCTGTCCCCTGGGGGCCAAGCCCAGGTGGAATTGTGCTCTGTCTGCTTAATGGGCATTGTATCCCGACACCAGTGCTTGTCCATCTGGGGCCTATTTCCTAACACTGACTCTTTAGTGAGGCCCATGGGAAAGTGAGGGACACATTTATCACCTGATGATTCTAGTGATGGGGACTGAATACCAGATGTCAGAGGTCAAAGGGGAAGGTCCCTGTTGAGGACAGATGTCCAGATGGATGGTAGGTCCAGTCCCCACACATGTACTTTCCCCGTATTTCCTGATCCTACCCTGGGTGTTCAGTCACACTTCTGGAAACTTCCCTGTGTTTCAGAAGTATGGGGCTCCTTTAGGGTCACAGGGCCCAGCCTTCTCCCTGACTTCTCACAGAACATTTTCTTCCCACAGGCAGAAGCAGGAAGAACTACACTCAGGCTGCCTGTAAGTCTGGGTGTTGGGGAGGTGACATCTGGGACCCTTGGGAGAGTGTGGGCTGGAGTCTGTGAGGCGGGCTCTCGCACCCCATAACTCTGCTGTTGTGTCTTCCCCAGGCAGCCACAGTGCCCAGAGCTCTGATGTGTCTCTCACAGCTCCTAAGGGTGAGACCCTGAGGGCAGGAAGTGAGATGGGGAGGTTGGGACTGAGGGGCACTGCTGGGTTTTGGGGATTCTCAGAGGGGGACATTCTGAGCATATGATGACTGTGGGAGAATGTGACTCTTCTGAGACTGACCTACATTTGTTCATAATAACTTTCTCTTCCAGTGTGACAGAGCTGCTTTCTATGGGACTTGGTGCTAAAACACCCACTGCAGCCTCCCTTTGGGACTTTAAAGATCTTATTTGCTATTTCTTCAACCCCCATCAAAATGGTATTTAATCATTTCAATGTCTCTATTTAGTGATATAGATAGATAGATAGATATAAATAAATCAGAAGTGATTTTTGGAACTATAAGACGCAACTTTCTCCCTCACATTTGGGAGGAAAATGCAGTGGGGACCCTGCTCCTGCCTCCTGTTACCCCAGTCTACAACTGACCCCCCAGCCACAGTGAGCCATGTAAGCTACATTTGAACTATAAGACGCACCTCCATGTCCTCCCAAATTTGGGGGGTGCGTCTTATAGTCCAAAATATGGTAGATTAAAAGCTCCAAATATTATTGTTTCTGGTAGCTGTGATTCTATCTACACCTTCACCCCATTTGTTAAGCTGTTTTAAGTCACTTTACATTCATAGACTTAAAATCAGGTATGAAGACAACCCGGGAAGAACAGACTGTGTACCACAGGACAAGGGGACCACACGGCTCCTGTGATGTTCCCTGTGACCACCTGTGGTCTGTGCACAATTAAGGGTTTCTTCCCACACATCTGAATGTGACCTTTTGTGCCTCTGGCTGTGGCTGGTTGGATCCTCTGATTCTAACCAAGTGCTGCTTTGTTGCCCCAAGCTTCCAGGCCCCCCTGGTTTAGATCTCAGGGGTGTCCATGTGGGGTCAAAGAGCTGACCAATCAGAAGGTGAGAACACCTGCTTAAAGCAGGAGCTGTTCCAGCATCCACTGTCCTTAATCCGCTGCAGACACTGCTCTCATTCTGCAGATGCTGAGACCTGGAAGTTCATGACCAAGAAGCCCATGTCCTTAGTGGCTTCCTCTGAGAGTTCCTCCCCAGGAGAGAGCCCTTAGGCCACAGGGTCAGTCTGGCTGCTGAGCTGAGAACAGAATCAGGAGACAAGGGACCAGTGAGGCAGGAGGGAAAGGTGTGGGGAAGCTCCCATGGTTCCAGGCTGCAGGTACTGGGTGTACTGACGGGCCTGTGAGCAGTGGAAACAGTGGGAAGGGACTGGACACTGAATGCATTGGGAAGATGGATTTCACAGCATTTTCTAAGGATTCAATCTGGTGTGCGGGAAAGGAGTCAAGGAGGCACCCCACCTTTGTTCTGTGCCAGCAGAAAGAAGGGGTTTTATCAGCAGAGAGGGAGAAGACACTAGCCGAGCATGTGTTGGGGAGGGGTGGGTATTTCAAGCATTCAGAGGATGAAAAGGTCAAGGTGAGATTTCTGTTAGAAACACCAGTGAGGTGTCAGGTTGGACCAATGACTGTGGGGACCTTGAGGAGAAATGTTTGGGCTTGAGACATAGGTGTGGAGGTGATGCAATAAAAATGACATTAAAGCCGTGAGTGTGGATGAGGCCACCAAGGGAGCCAGGACTGTGGAAGAGGAAAGACAAGGACTGGACTCTGTACCTCCCTGTCCCAACAATGGTGACAGTGGTCACCACTGGCCACTCACCCAGGTTGGTGACTGCCAGGTCTCCTTGTCATACAGTCACCATTTGGTGATTATCATTCACTCATAACTTACAGGGAGATGTTCTGAGATTGTCCTGCTGTGCTCTTCACCACTTCTACACTCACCCTCCTTAGTCCCTCTCATAACTTCCATCCAAGTCAGCAAAAATATGATGGTTGTCCTGTATCAGCCTTCAACATTGATTAGTAGGGTCTAGGCAAAATACAGCTTAAGAAGTATAATCAATAATATTGTTGTGACTACGTATGTTGTCAGATGGCTACTAGATTTATTGGGGACATTACTTAATGAGGAATATAATTGTTTAAGCCCTCTGTTTATAGCTGAAACTAATAAATATTATATAGCAACTGTTTTGAAACATAAAAAATTATTTAAAGTTTTTAAAAGCACTAACTTGGACTTCTTGCCCAGCATTATGATAGAAGTTTGGGGGAGAAATTCGAGTATTTTGTGGCAAGTCCACGAGCAATCCTGGTCTCAGACAGATTTGGATGTATATAAGTCATTGATGAGGTAGGGCCCAGGTTGCAGAAATGACTTAAATCCACATTTAAATATTTTCTTTTTCTGGGGAAGGAAAGGTAGTTTATATGTCATCATATGATGTGAAAGGTACAGCGTTTTCTCTCCGTGGGGGAAAGTCAAGTGGAAGATGTAGAAAGAAGCTCTCAGTTCAACATCATGAAAATCTCCAAACGATCGCTCTCTGCAATTATTCCCCTGATTGATTTCTGGAGCAAATAATAGAACCCAAATTTTCTACTTTAAACATAAAAGGATTTCTAAATGGGATATTGTGGGCTCGTTTTATTTTAGGAGAAGCCACAGGACACACATGTCTGAGAGACTCACGCACACCCGAAGGTGGGAAGAGAGAAGAGCTCAGATGGTGCCGAACACACACCCACAGCTCACAGTCCGGACTCTCTGGGTGTCTCAGCCTGAGGAGGGGAGGACTGGGGCTGTCAAGGCCAATCCCTTCAGCTGGGAGGAGCAGAGGTTGAGCATTCCTGCAGGAGGGTGGGTAGGAGCTGTGGCTGAGCTTTGAGACCCGGGCAGGGATGAAGCACAGAGTGTGGCCTCGGTTGTCTGGCCTTCCACCTCCCAGACAGAGAAACAAAGCCACGGAACCTGGCCGCCCCCACCTCACTCTCCCAGGCCTTGTCTTCCCTCGTTCCTCCAGTGCTCGCTCCCTCTCCCCCTCTCAGAGTGCGCAGCAGGCAACCAGAGAAGCTGTAGCAGTGCTTTGGGGTTGCAGAGCACATTATCTGCAAACCTGGGAATCCTAGTACAGAAACATTTTTTTCCATGAGGGACAGGTGCTTTCTGCTGCTAATGCCAAGGTCAAGTGCAGATACAGAGGGGAAGCTGCAGAGATCTGCAGGTCACCACTTGTAGAACAAAGCCATTAAAGGCAGTGGCCAGCTGCCCCCCACTCACCCCTCCAGCCCCCTACCCCAGCAGCTGGGCTGCCTGCAGCTTCTGTCTGCTAGGGGCAGCACTGTGATTTCACGCATTTGAAACCCCATATGCCACTAAATTCCTCTAAGGGCTTAGTGCCCTGAAACCAAGGTGACCGGAACACAGAAGAGACACTCATCTTTGCAGGGATCAGGAGCCATTTCCCACCATCCTTGCAGACAGTGAAAAAACCTGGTTGGTGCAAGGGAACTAAAAAACAAAACAAAACAAAAAAACAAAAAACAAAACCTTATGTTTCAGCACCACCTACAGGAAAACAATAAAAAGACTTCTTAATCTACCAGAGAAGGCGTCTCATACACAGACGCCTACGCAGAGAAGAGTCTGCCCTTCGGCCATACACACACACACTTGTCCTGTCTCAAATCCCCCTGCAGGAGGTGCTGTCCACTCAGGAGTTTCTGCCGGGACAGCGTCACCCTCCCGTGTGGTTACTGTGTGAGTGTCACTCACGTTTCTTTCATTGAATGGGGACGCCTCTCTGACCTAAATTAACCCGAGGCAGCAGGGTTAATTTAAGAGATGAAGACCCGTTAATTTCCCAGTCTTCCAGAATGGGTGCATGTTGGGACAACAACAAATACGTAACTTTTAAGAAATGACTGTTATGCATCAGAGCAATTCGTTCTGCAGTCATTCAACAGTGTGCTTCACATTTGGAAATACGACGGACTGAGTGCACCCTGAGGGGCCATGCTGTGGTCTGCAGGTTTGTGACAATAAATCCACGTGCTGAATTTACAACCCTCAGCCCTGGCTGGTAGCTCAGTGCTGAATTTACAACCCTCAGCCCTGGCTGGTAGCTCAGTCGGGTGCGGGTTGTATCCTGGGTCAGGGCACGTGCAAATGCCAGCCAATGAATGCATGAATAAGTTTGACAGCCAATCCATCTCTCTCTCTCTCTCTCTCTCTCCCCCTCCCTCCCTCTCCCTCTCCTTTCTTCTCTGTCTCCATCCCTCTCTCTCATCATATCACTCAATAAATTGCTTTTTAAAAAAGAAATGATAACCCCCATGCACATTATAAGAGATGGGGCCTGGCAGGTGCTCAGATCTTGAGGGTGGAGTGGTTGTGAGTGGGTTGCGTTTCTTACAGAAGAGGTTCCAGAGAGAGGTCTTGTCCCTTCTGCTCCATGAAGTGATGGCAAAAAGGCACAGCCCATGACACAGGAAGGCCCC